ATATATATATATATATATATATATATATATATATATATATATCCTATTTGAGTCAAGAGGCTGTAGGGATAGTCCAAAAAAATAGGAGTCTATGAGAATTATATAAGTGACATCAAGTGCCCTAAAAAATGTACCTATCAATACTAACGAAATTTTCACGGAGTTGGTTTACAGTCTTCTCAGATGAACCAAGTGCTTTTAGACCAGCTTGTGCCTGCTCAACCTGCAACCAAAATGCATAATGTTGACGAATTAAATGTAGCTGAAAGCATTTCATCTTCACCAGAACAAGATGAATATGTGAAACAGAACTCACATAGATGCATAACATTCAGAAAACAGGAACGGGACTATGGCTTACAGTTTTCTACAGAAAAAAGATTTACCTGCTCAGCAACCATGGTGCTAAGTTGTGCATCATTTGCCTGAAATAAGTGAGAGGGAAAAAAAATTAAGAGAGAGCTAACATATCATCTCAGTGCTCTCAGCTATTTTCCTTCGCTGCCCATAAAACATGAATGCAGAAATCATATTCGCACAGCCCAAAGAAGCAAACTCTTCCAAAAAAAGTGCATGATAGAATCCCTCTACCCGAAAGATAATCCAAATTGTCATCTTAAATTCTTTGTTACTCTATAGACATGCTAACAAGGTCCCACTTACCCGAGTATACAAGGCATTAACTTTTCTCAAACTGCTATACACTTTTTCTACCAAAAATGGAAGTGCAAAGGTTCTGATGCATACACAATGAACCTGAAGCCCTGTTACCAGTTACTTCATTTTTCCTACTCATCCAATCTCAGTGAATGTAACCAGCTAAAATTGAGATGCTTAAACCTGGATTTTTGCACGCATTAAATGCTGAATCATACTTGAAAGTACATAATAATGATCCAACCGAACACCAGCGCTGTAACTTGTTTAGTTCAAGCATAAATCTATGGCAACCACAACAGTTGCTTCAAACTCGCTTGCTTATTTGATAGAAAGTAAAAGGGTGAGTTTGATACTAATTTTTGGGGGTTCCCATTCATGCTCTTACTTCAACTCACTAGTATAAAGACCGGAAATTTACACAACAGAGCACTCAAGATGACCTGTTGGCGTGCAATGTAATCTGCCTTGACTGAAGAAATGGAATGCAAAAGCTCAGGAAGCGGCAAGAGCTTCGCAACCTCGCGAACTGCAGACTCCTTGGCTTCAATTCCTAGATCTTCGACCATCATCTTGCCTGAATTAAATAAAGACATCGGTTTTCACAAAAATTCAACGTGCCGCTGTGTGAATTTACTAATTTCTTTAATGGAGAGAATCCTAGGGATCTCGAGCGTACCCGATAAAATGGATCACGATAGAAAGATCATTGTCAATACTTTCTCCTGAATTCGGCTAAGTTTTAGTTAATCAGATCCCAGTATAGTGTCTGATAGATATATAGCGGTTAGAAATTGGATTCGTTTCAAATTGGGGGAGAATTGTAGTAGAAATTGGAACCATTAGAACGAATTGCAACAAACTTACTTTTTTTAAGTGCACAGATACGAAAAGTCCAGCAAGCAATATCGAGACGGTGGTGCTACCTATGATGGCGATGGCGATGGCGATGGCGATGGCGATGGCGATGGCGGATGCGCGATTCCGGTGGAAATATCGGCTGCGTGTGCGGTGGTCTCCGAATGTTCGAGACTTGATAGAAGAGATTCAAGAGAACGTGATGGCTGTCGTCCTTGTTGAGTTTTGACCGAGTTGATCACTCTAAACTCGGTTTCCTTCTCTTCAATTTTGTAACAACGATTCTGAGTTAAAAAAATATATTTATATTATAATTATACATATAAATATAATTTATTAAATTTTGATGTTTGAATTCGTATAAATAAATGTGAATAAACATAATATTTAAATCATAAATCTTGAGTTTAAAAAATTTAATTTCAGAATTATTTGTAAATTTCTTTTATTAAAAAGTATAAAATAACAAATAAATTGTTTTATAATATATAAAGTCTTTATTGGAACTTTTTAGTATATAGGACTAACGATTCACGGTTGTGTGTTTTATAAATAAGGAGTCGTTTACCAAACACTTATCTGAAAAACGTTTATCAGTAAAATTTTATGATATCATTTACTTACCGGATAAGATTTTAGTCAACAAAAATGGCATTTTATGTAACAATTTACCCGATAAGTGCTAACCATGGTAAGAGTCGTCGACCTTACTTACCGGATAAGACTCTCGGTCCTTGCCTTGCTCTTACTGGATAAGATTCTTGGTTTTTGTCATACTCATTCAGTAAGGTAATGTGACTTGGTAAACACTTACCTGAGTAAGTGTTTGGTAAACGGCCCATAAGTTTAAGGGATAAACGTATGAAATAAAGTTATTATTTAATGAAGTATTATTTCAGTTTACCTTTTTATATTTGAGAACTAAATTGCTTGAACTTACAACTTTTTTATTATCGATATGTGCATCAGGTTCTTGTAAAGGCAGTACTAGCAACACCTTAGAAAAGTTAGGTACTAGTTAGAGAAACGTGAAGGACTTAACTATTTGGGATCCATATCTTTTTGAAGATAATGATTATTATTTGGTTTTAATAACACTCATTCCTAACCTAGAACTTGTGTAAGGATTGATCTTGTGAGTTGTTGACGTTAAACCTTAAACTTGTGTTGTGAGTAATCGAATGAAGTCTTTTAGAAAGGAATTTGTACCCTTATTTATGTTTGTACAAAACTCTTAAATTAGGGGCCGTTTACCAAATACTTACCCGGTAAGTGCTTACCGATAAAATTTAACACTATTATATAATTACCGGGTACGATTTTAGTCCACCAAAACGACATTGCATGCAATAATTTACCCGGTAAGTGCTTACCATGGTAAGAGTCGTCGCTCTCACTTACCGGGTAAGACTCTTGATCCTTGACTCGATCTTACCAGGTAAGATTCTTAGGTGCTAAAGACTTCGCTTGTTGAGCTTAATGTGTCAAAATCTGTGTTATAACCCTAATTTATTGCCATTGACGTATATTTAAATTGGTTAAAAGAATCCAATTTCTTTTCTCTCAACTTAGTTGTTGTTGATATCAATACATGTTTGTATTGTACCATGCACATACTACAAGTGATGGAAAATACTGCTAATGATTATGAAATCGAAAGTATCAATTTTGATTACCTTTCGGAAATTAATGGTTCTTAGGCCAGACTATGGAATAAATCGAAAGTATCCAAATTCTCTTGTTTTCATCTCGATCATATCAAAGGTACATCATCTTGGAAAAGAGATAAAGGCTTCTTTCATATATTCTCTCTTGTTCTTAAGTTTAAGTTCATACTCTTCATGCTTTCTTTTATTCTCGGTGACCATATCTCTTAATTAGTCTTAGTCTTTAAAATTAGTGAGGTCCAAATTCTCTTGTTTTCATCTCGATCATATCAAAGGTACATCATCTTGGAAAAGAGATAAAGGCTTCTTTCATATATTCTATCTTGTTCTTAAGTTTAAGTTCATACTCTTCATGCTTTCTTTTATTCTCGGTGACCATATCTCTTACTTAGTCTTAGTCTTTAAAATTAGTGAGGTCCAAATTCTCTTGTTTTCATCTCGATCATATCAAAGGTACATCATCCTGGAAAAGAGATAAAGGCTTCTTTCATATTTTCTCTCTTGTTCTTAAGTTTAAGTTCATACCCTTCATGCTTTCTTTTATTCTCGGTGACAGTATCTTTTAATTAGTCTTAGGGGCCGTTTACCAAATACTCACCCGGTAAGTGCTTACAAATAAATTTTAACGCTATTATTCACCTACCGGGTAATATTTCAGTCCACCAAAACATCGCATGCAACAAATTACCTAGTAAGTACTTACCGTGGTAAGAGTCAGGGCCGTCCCTGAGGGAGGGCGACACGGGCGCACGCCTAGGGCCCAAAAATATCAGGGGCCCAAAATTTTTCTTTTAAATACAATAGTAGTCTAAAATCATATAATAAATTAAAAAAAAAACCCAAAAAATTGTAGTATACAATAAGGGGTAAAAAGAATTAGTAGATAATAAGTGCCAAAAAATATATCAATTAATTACATTGGAGAAGTAAATTAAAAAAAAAATTAATTGTCATTCATTATATGTTATTGTTTATTATTGACTCTCTATTTTTTTTTATCTTCAAAAAGGTCTAATGATATTGGCTATTACTATCTCTATATGCTTGATTGTTTTTGTGCTTCAACTATTCAACGTTAAGATCATGTGGTTGTTATTGCTATATATTTTTATCAATTTATGTTTCTGTTGACTATTGCTATTTGATTATGTTGTTCTAATTGTTTTTGTTGACTATTGTTATCTATTTTTGCTTCTACATAAAATATTTTATTATTGTTTGACAATCAATTTATTGTTCTTATAATTTATGATATGTTTCATGGTTTTATGATTAATAAATAATTTTTTTCTACTAATGTCTCTTATAATGTCATGTTTCATAAACTTTTAATCTTAAAATCTTATTTTGGTTGAGCAAAAAAAGAAGGAAAATAAAATTTAAATATTTTCATCAACTGTTTGACTTATATATCTTTCATTGGAATTCCACCACACAACAAGCTTCTATTTAAGTGCTCAAACAATCTTTTGTTGAGCTTACATATTATATGTTTAATTCATTATTTATTCTTATTGAATCTCAATGGATCATCTTTTCTTTCATATTCTTATTGATCCTCATTTGTCTACTTGTCTAGAAAACCTTGATAATCTTCTTTATTATTGATCTCTCG